TTTTCCTCCAACAGGATCCAGAGGAATCAAACCAGATGTTGGACTGGATTTTATTTCAATGTCATTCATGAATGTTAGAGCCTCATTTTCAAAAGTGGAGCTATAAAGGTTGAAAAATGTTATTATTTTGGAGAAAATCTCATCAATATCTACATTTCCACTAAATAAGAGACAAATATAAATATCATGTTTGATGGAGGAAAAGCCTCTCAGACTCTGAGCTCAAAGCAAGATGGCAGAGAACCAAACTCATATTTTTATATTAGACAATTAATTTAATTCCACATAATTATCACCATATGAGTGATTTGTTTGTTAAATGAAATATATTTGTCCTTTGATGTTTGTTGTGAATGACTTATACTCACAAATGAACGAGGTAATTCGTCCATTTCTGTCGTTTATTGAACGTTCAGAAACTACAGCAGCTGTAATGAGCCACAGACAAACTAGAGGAGCTGAAGTTTGTCTAGAAAATGGATGAATAGAAACTATTTTCTGATCATCTCCATCCGCTCCACCATGTTGGGTCTGTTAGGATATCAGCTCCACTGGTTTCATTCGTTCCTTCATCTTCCAATGAAAATCCTGTTTAAAGTCATGTGATGAAGAGCTTCTGGTCCAGATTGTTGCTGCAGCAGTCAGAGCTCAGCATGAAGAAACAGGGAGGTTTGCTAACAGGTAGCCAAGATGGCCGCCGCTAAAACCTTCAGCTGTGAGAACATGAAGCCTGAACTATTTGAACCTGTTGCTCAGCTTCTCTATTAAATGGATCCTTGAACAGAACCAGAACCAGGATGTTTGTTATGAAATGATCAAACTCAGTAAATTGATGTGAAGGCCAGATGTTCATCAGATGATATCAATGTTATCATATGTTTATATAGATTATCTAGTTTAATCAGAACTGACTTTATTTCTTCTCTAATCACAGACTTGGTGGCTGTAAACTCAGAGAGGCTGAATATGAAGTTGTGGCTTCAGCTCTGAAGTCCAACCAACATCTGACTGAACTGGAAATAAGTGAGATCTACATATATGAAGCTGGAGACTCTGATATGAAGAATGTGCTTGAGATCCTGCAGAGTTCAGTCAGTAAAGTGAAGAGTCTGAGGTTTGTTTTCTCTATTTATCCTATAAAATCTTTCATTAATATTTATTTATCTTCACACTTATTCTGTTTTCTTTAAAAACAATTTGCTCTCTAAATGTCAGAATATAATTTCTAAAATATTTTTGCTTTGTAAATGAATTATTTTCCTTTTCAGACTTTGAGAAAATTGATCTTTATTTTTCACTTTAAAATGTTTTGGACTGATGAACAAAAATAAGTTAATAAGTCAAATGATGATAATTAATGATGGAGATGTTTCAGTTTGTTCTGAAAAGATTCAGATGATCCGATTGATTTATTTCTCTTTTCTTCTTCACATTAATAATGAAAAGTTCCTCCAGAGTAAAACCAGAACCAGAACCAGACCAGTTATGTTTCATAACCAGAAACTATAACATGAATAAAAACTGTCAGCAGCAGCTGGTTCCAGATAAATCAATCAGTTCAGTTTCCACTCATGTGTTCATGTGTTTATGAATGAGTGAAGTGTAATTATTGCAGCTGTTGATCCTCCAGATAAATCAGTCAGTTCCTCTCAATAGCAGGTTTCTGTCACTGTGGAAATGAGCTGCTTCATTAAATCACTGCAGCTTCATTAACAGCTCTGATGTCTCACTTTGGTTCTTAAAGTCCATTTTAATTCCCGACCAGAACCACTGAAGGCCCGACTGAAATATTCTAACACGTCATAATAACATGTTCTGGTTCTGCTGGTTTGGACTCTATAAACCAGTTTTACTGGATCAGATATTAAACATCAGTTCATCATGTTTCTTTTACATTCAGTCAAATTAATTTTCTACATTTTTATCATTAATTTGTTCATATTTCAGTTTTAACCTGCATCCTGTTGCTTCAGCTCACATCTTTTATTCTTTATTCAGATTGAAGGGCTGCAGGTTGTCAGAGATCAGCTGTTCTTCTCTGGCCTCAGCTCTGAAGTCCAACCAACATCTGACTGAACTGAACCTGAGCAGCAACAACCTGAAAGATTCTGGAGTGAAGGAGCTCTGTGGTTTTCTACAGGATCCTGAATGCAGAATACAACGATTAGTGTAAGAAACCATGTTTTATTCTGGAAAGTTGTGTTGCCACTAAACTGCAGACAGATGCTGATATTCTACTGATCCACTCTGAGGATCTTCATGGTAAAGTCTGCTGTCTTCTTCTGTGGTTTGGTCCAGTTAAAGTTTCTGTGTTTTATAAAAGCACCAGCAGTTCCTCCTCCCACCATCACATCCAACCAATCACAGCCTTCATTTCACAGACACCAACCACACCTGCAGAGAGAAGGTCAAAGGTCAGATTGGAGACTAAAGGCTGATAAAACTCTGATATTAGGATCATTAAATGTCTTAATATCTACAAACAATCAGATATAAAATCTTCCATCTCTGTGCTACAATCAGCGGTGGTCTGGTGCCATCCCTAAAAAGATAACTTCCTGGGCATTTGCCTATATTGCTCATGTCAGAAACCACCACTCTCTGTACCATTTAACATAGCAATTGAGGCAATGCCCAGATGGCAAATAACGCTCAACTATGAACACTGACCAAGGAGCAACAAGCAAGAAGTAACCATGCACAAGGCGCTTATTGTGACTGTTCTCACCCTCTCTCCCACTACATGAAGCCAGGTAGTCTGACACCATGGCAGACTAGCATTATAGCTGCCACTTTGAACGAAAACAATCAAAGAGCAATGTGCATGCTCTTTTGTTCTTGTGTTTTATTTGTTAATTAAAAAATATCAATGTACATAATTAAATAAAATAATGATAGGTACTGTAGTGTATGCAGAGCATTACAAGAACAAAGAAGAGTGTTTCGTCAGGTCAGCATATGCTGTCAGATCGTCATACGCTTAGCACAAACTCACGGCTATATCTGTCAGACACGTCATTACCATAAGATTTCATTTAATCAACACAGAATCATGACGTAGATCGTCATACACTTTGTTATTAACAGTTGTATGGCATCCTGACTTAGCGGTTAAGTAGTAGTTTTACACGGGCATGTGTTGTAGTTGACTGCAGCTGCAGCCAGACCTGCTTTAAATACACTTTGAAGCCACGACAACTTATGTATATCTATATAGTTATCATTGAAAACAATTTAATGACTTATTTTCGTCAGAACTTGCTGCATATGGTGAACTGACAACTCCTCTGACTGTCGGACTTCTTAATGCCCATGCGCAGGCCTGGTACTCACTGAATGTTTGCTATTTTGACAGCGTATGGCTATCTGATAGAACAACGGTGTTCTGTCAGATCAGCATAGGTTGTCAGATAGTCATACGCTTAGCTCAGACATGTATACGCAGTCATTACCATATGATTTTATTTAATCAGCAAAATAGAATCATGACGTAGATCATCATACACTTTGTTATTAACAGTTGTATGGCATCCTGACTTAGCGGTTAAGTGAGTTTTACACGGGCGTGTGTTGTAGCTGACTCCAGCAGCAGCCAGACCTGCTTTAAATACACTTTGAAACCATGACAACACATGTATATCTATATAGTTATCATTGAAAACAATTTAATGACTTATGTTCATCATAACTTGCTGCGTATGGTGAACTGACAACTCCTCTGACGGTCGGATTTCTTAATGCTTACTGCATGTATGCTATCCTGACAGCGTATGGCTATCTGATAGAACAACGGCTCTCAGCGACACTCCAGTCCTATCTAATAAGTAAAGAGACAAGCAGATGAATTGTACTGTTNCAACAACCTGAAAGATTCTGGAGTGAAGGAGCTCTGTGGTTTTCTACAGGATCCTGAATGCAGAATACAACGATTAATGTAAGAAACCATGTTTTATTCTGGATCTGATGTTTGTGATGTGAAAGTTGTGTTGCCACTAAACTGCAGACAGATGCTGATATTCTACTGATCCACTCTGAGGATCTTCATGGTAAAGTCTGCTGTCTTCTTCTGTGGTTTGGTCCAGTTAAAGTTTCTGTGTTTTATAAAAGCACCAGAAGTTCCTCCTCCCACCATCACATCCAACCAATCACAGCGTTCATTTCACAGACACCAACCACACCTGCAGAGAGAAGGTCAAAGGTCAGATTGGAGACTAAAGGCTGATAAAACTCTGATATTAGGATCATTAAATGTCTTAATATCTACAAACAGATATAAAATCTGATAAAATGTCTTTATGTCCAAGACAGACTGAGGCTGAATTCACTAAATAATGATGTTCATCCACATCTCTGACCTGATCATAAATGATCAATAAACCATCATTGATAAAAACACAAACTTTATGAACCTGTAAAGATGAACAGATGTAGAAAAATCAGGAATCAGTTTGACATTTAAAATGAATCTGAACTGAAATATTAGAGCTCAGTCCAACAGAAACAGTTACATTTTAATACAGCAGCATCAATTTAATAAATTATCTGAAATAATATGTAAATATTTTTCCAAGCTGAGTGAATGTGAGGTAAACAAAGTATTCCCTCCTTTCCTGGGTTGTTTCTCATCTCCAGTGTCTGAGGTGAAGCAGCAGGAATCCTGTGAGTTTGTGACAGATGTAGCAGGAAGTTGTGACGTTGACAGAAGGAGCTGGATGGACGACGGAGGGAAGCTGATAGCAGAGCAGCTTTATTTCTAGACGACTTTAAACAGGACAAAGGAGACATGAAGCAGCATCACATGATCCAATAATCAACCAATAAACCATCAATAGGAGATAAACATCAATACAACAGACCTGATTAAAATAATAAGATAATCATACAGTCAGAATGAAGTAAATGGAAAAAGAGCAAAATAACAATAAATTGATTTAATTCAAACTGACAAAAGTCAACATTTGGTTTGAAGCAGGAATTTATAATCAATCTGGGCTATTGATCCTTAG